TAGTTAAGAGCAAGACCAATTATTTTTTTGTGATTTTTGCCAAGATGTGTAGCAAGATTACTTATTTTTTTTCCTTTGGATTTTGTGTTTGAGAAAATTATTTGAAAATTGGAGAAAACCAAGATGGCTTGTAAACTAAAAATGGCAATTCTTCTTCAGTGTTTTTTGGTGGAAGATGCAGACTTTTTCATTTGAACAATTTCAGAACAATTTTTTTTGGATTTGTATAATTGTTGTAAAAACTAGTTCAGATTTTCCTTGGAAAATAATAAGGACACCTACATTATTCATACTATTTTAGACACTACATATTGTCTTTTTTGATAAAATATTACTATCAATTTTTTTCCAGTGGTTTCTATTTCTGAAGAAACTGTTACTGCATCAGTATCACACTGATAACTGGATTTTCCCTATTGGTTATGGTAAAAGAACTTGGTCATATAAATGTTTTTTCAATAGTGACAACTGTGATGAAAAATCCTAGTGGATTTCAGGTTCACTAAAAGCAGTTCTAGTATATGAAGATTAATAGGAGATCTGAATTATCTTGGATGTCACTGCAAAAGAATACAGTATTTAAAGATTGTTTTACAATTGCTCTTGCATACCTGGCTTGCACTGTCCTGTTTTAAACATTCGTCGTCACTGTGATTCTTCAGGTGTTGATCACTATGAAAATCTAGTGAGCTTTTGCTAAGTGGTTATCATGACAGTAAAAACTTGAAGCGTTCAGCAGTCACCTCCTGTACACAGTCAATAAAACTTCATGAGCTACAGATTGAGCTGTAGCTATGTGATGCCGTATTCCATAGTGTTACTGTTATAGGGAGGAGATGAACGGCCATATCATTAACATTGTAAATGAAGAAGTCATATACAAGACCATTAAAGCAACCTAAGCATTAAAAACACATTTTACTACTTCTTTTAAGTTTTCTGTCTCTGTTTTGAGGTAGCAGTGAAAATTCAGTCATTTCCTCTAGGATGTGCTGCTGGTTGTATATGAGAACTGGTATTTCTGTCTATTACAGATTTATAAGCTGTGTTAAAAATAAGACCGGCCCCAACACCTGCATTTTTCAAGCTGTTAGACAGAGATAGGCATTGGCTTGGCTGCTTGTCCACATATCAATGGCAAGATTTATGATTCTTCTGTCTGCTTATCTGAGAGCATGCAGTGCATTCCTCAATTTGGTTATTAATAAGGCTGTCCTGAATACGAGGTACAACAACAGTAGAGAAGAACAGCCTGCTTGGGAGGGAACAACATGACTCAGTATGCTATAACAGCTTCTGGAAACCACTATGCCTTTATAACAGTATACCTGAAGGAGAAAGCCAATCCTTTTTATGCATTTCCTTTCCTTTTTATAAAAAAATGCAGTGTAAGTTGTGGCTTGTCTCTCAGTACTAAGCCAGTGGATTTACACAACATTTTCTTTAAAAATACTCAAGGTGATTTTTTGCTGTTATTTACATATTCAGTAACAAATATAGGAACATAACAGTAAGGCCAAGGCAGTTTAAAGTTACCAGATAAGTTTCTACTTGCATCTTATGCAGCATTGGAGAAAACACCCTTTAAAACTTCCCATTCCTGTCAATGTCTGAATTCATTTATGTGCTTTTGCTGATCATCCTGAAAATATCTGAAGAATAGAATTCGATGCACGCTTAAAAGGGCTCTTGTCTGGAGAATGAGGAGCTGTTTTGTGACTATATTCTGATATTCAGAATGCAGATGTGTGTCTGCCTAAGCTCCTGCTCTGCTTAGTGTATGAATTCAATTTAAACTGCTTAGAAGTTCAGTTAAAAAATGGTGTCCCCTGTGTGCAATAGTAGGTTGGCCAAAGCTGGCAGCTGTTACTCTCTACGGAGGAGCCTGGCATTTTGAGCCATTTTGCATATTAGTAGGACATGGTGCACTTTGGGAACCTGTTGATTTGAGTCTCTTCTTAGTGTGAAGGTTAAGATGAACCTACACCTGCCACCATCCAAAATATTTAATTATGGGATGTTCCTCCACTGCTGCTTGAGTAGACAGATACGGAAGTAGCATAAAACTGAAATGAAAGGAGCCTAACGGAAGTTTGACATCCTACAGGAAACTGCAAATATATGGTCTAATCTATGCTCCTCTCGGGTTCTTGTGTTAAATGCAGTGTCTGTCTAGTGTAAAATGTGAAAATATTCAGGAGTAGGAATCAGAAACTATGTTTTCCTTCCTCCTAGCAAAATATCCTAATCATAGGACAACAGAAACAGGTTATTCTACCTCTGGTTTCCTTAGGAATGGAAATTTACCCTGAGGCAGACAGACCATATGCTGCCAGCTTTGCAGGGGATACATTTATCACAGGGACAGAGAATGTGTCAGTGAAGCAAGAAACCACTGAATGGTGCACGTGGGAAATTTCACGTTGTTGTCACTCACAGGAGATACAGACTTTGTCATCTTCATAAAATTGTCTTACTATGTGATGGACGGTCACTACCACTAGGAATTATCCAGATATGAGAGGTCAAAATCAATTTTTATTTTTATTTTTATTTTTATTTTTATTTTTATTGTCAAGAATTTAGAAATGAGCAGAATGAAAAATAGAGGAATAAAGAAGGAAGATCGTATTGAGCTTCAAACACATTGAAATTAAAGAAGAAAACTTCCAATGTAAAAAATTCAGGGAGAAGAAAGAGATATTGTAATGCTTATTTCTCTTTATGAATCCATTTTAACTTAGAATATAATATTTTTTTTTTTTTTTTTAATAACTCTTTGTGTGATACTGGTTTATTCAAATACATTTGAATAACTTCTTTCCAGATGCCTTAGGAAAGCCTATAATATCTATCTTAATTTGCATTATGTTCATGGAAATGCCCTTCATATCTATGCTTATAATTTATTCACTAATTCTTAGCTTTCTAGAGCAATTTTAAAATATTTTCCCCAAATCAAAATAGGATCCTCCTATATGTCACAGTTTGATTTGTAATGTTTAGATGCTGTAAGTCTTAAGCAGCACAAAGTCTTGTCTATCAGACTATGTTTTCCTGAACAGAGCACTTCATTAATTTCAAAAGGATTAAGTTGTCTTTGAGGTTAATATTGCATTATTGTGTAAATAAATGTGGTAATTTTTTTTCAGTTTTAAAGTGTACTAGGCCTATATTTACCTGAATGTTATCCAAATTTCTTTTGCTTTATCTTCTGAAGTATTGTTAATATTGGTTACTGATTATATATACATTCTATGCTCAATCAGTTTGGATCATTTCCCCAGGTATCTAAATTTTTCTTAAGTGTCTCCCTCTCCCATCAGTGCCTCATTCTCAGTTTTAAATGACTAATGTTTAAATAAGTATTAGTCACATCTCATCTCAGTGGTCAGTGCTTGTGCTTTTAAATTAATATTATTTGAACATCTGCCCCTAGGGCTCTCACCAGGAATGTAAGGGCTCATCTGCGGGAAAAAAGTTAACACCTCCATCCTGTAGTGAGAAACAGGTTGGAAGAGGCAGGAGGTCTGCAAAACTGAAAAGCCTTTTCTTATTTAATAGCGTCAGAAAGGGAAA